AAGCCACAACCAAGAGTCAGACATTTAACTGACTAAGCCGCCCAGGTACCCCTCACATCTTCTTTTCAAGTCCCATTTAGAAAGTCAGAAAACTTGGGGCACCTGGGTAGCTCAGTTGGTTAAGTGACTGACTTCGGCTCAGGTCATGGTCTCACCATTTGTGAGTTTGAGCCCCGCGTCGGGCTCTGTGTTGATAGCTCGGAACCTGGAGCCTGCTTCAGATTCTGTCTCCCTTGCTCTTCTGCCCCTCCCCTGCTTGCACCGTCTCTCCCTCTCTCTCTGAAAAATAAACATTAAAAAAAAAAACCTCACAAAAAAAGACTACAGATTACATCATAAAGAAAAATGTATTCAAGTCCAAAAAAGTAGACATCATTGAACATTCTCTTGATCATAATACATTATAACTAGAAATAATGCAATACAAAAGCACCCACCACCTGGGTAGATAGGTGGAATCCAGATGAGCCTTAAGTCAAAGAAGAAATCAAAACCAAAATTACAAAAGATTTTAAAAACAAAATGCCTCCTCTTAGGACTTATTGGATTCAGCTAAAGCAGTGCTCAGAGAATTCATAGCCTTAATTTTTCCTTTTTTCCTTGTTTATCAGTATAAAGAGTTATGCTTCTAACAAGAAATATTTTTATAAAACAAGGAAAGTAGGAAGAATTTAATAAAAATAAATGCATAAAATAATGAATTCGAAGCCAGAAAAGGGTAATTACTAATAAATAAATCCTAAAGCTGGATCTTTGGGAATGGGAGAAAGGTAAGTAATTAGCCAACTAACCTAATCAGTAAAAATAAGGTTTGGGCAGGGAGGAGGGATGTATAAAACAGACAAGAAATAAGGATGAAATCATCATTTAAAAGAATTATAGGAACACCTGGGTGGCTCAGCTGGTTGAGCATCTGACTTCGTCTCAGGTCATGATCTCACAGTTTGTGAGTTTGAGCCCCACATGGGGCTCTGCACTAGGGGTGTGAAGCCTGCCTGACATTCTCTCTGTCCTTCTCCCTCTCAAAATAAATAAATAAGTCTAAAAATAAATAAAGAATTGTTTTGGTTGGCCTCATACAAGTAAATTTGACAAGTGGATAAAATGAATACTTTCTGACACAGAATAATTTACAAAACTCATTCAAGGAACAGAACAGTCACAACAGATCAATGATTACAGAATCAAAGAGCTACTCCAAAGAAAAGCCCTGGCCCAGACTGTTTCATAGAGGATCAATGAATCTTTCAGGAAGAGATAATCCATTTCTTTTTTTTTTTTTTTTTTCTTCAAGCTTTTATTTTTGAAAGAGATCATGAGAAGGGGAGGGGCCGAGAAAGAGGGGGACAGAGGATCTGAAGCAGGCTCTTGGGCTGACAGTAGAGAGCCTGAGGTGGGGCTCAAACTCATGAACCGTGAGATCGTGACCCAAGCCAAAGTCAGACACTCAACCGACTGAGCCACACCAGGCGCCTTGTTTCTACTTAAACTGTCAAAAAGCACAGAAGACAACGAAAGCCTCCATTCTCTCTGTGAGGCAAGCACACTGAGAATGAAACCCAACAAAAAGCATTCCAAAAACCTGAAGGCTCATCTCACTGATGAAATGGAAGCAAAACTCTGACATGAAATAACAAAGCCAGTATGGCAATATATTGAAATATTTGCCATGACCAAGCGGGATTCTACCAGGAATGCAAGGGTAGTTGAAATGTAAGGAGTCCCTATCATTATTCCTATTAAAAGATAAAAGGAAAAAAAAATACGGTCATCTTCACGGACACGGAAAAGGCGTTTGCTAAGCTTCAACTTCCATTCTTGATTTTTTAAAATTCTTGATAAAACAGGGACACATGGACACTTACTTAACCTGCTAAGCATCTGCCCCCTGCAAACCAGCATTTTGCATAATCGAAGCTTCTCATTAAAGTCAGGAATGAAGCAAGAGTGTCCATTATCACGAATATTATTTTTCATTGTTCTAGGGACAGCAGCCAACATGGTTAAATAAGGCAAAGAGAGCAAAGTATAAAACTTCCAAAGGAGGAAGTAAAATGATAATTTGCACACAGTCTAATAGCATAACTGGAAAATCTAAGAAACCAAATTGAAAAACCGTTACAAACCATAAAAGAATTCAGTAAGGGGGTGGGAGTTAATAGCCTTGATATAAATAACTTCCGTTTCAGGAAGAAAAGCCGAGCCTGAAACGGGTAACTTTTAACATGTGCAAGGGCTAGATGAGGCAGACATCAGCACGTTCCCAGGGACAAAAAAAAAGTCTGAGCAAACTGAGGTTTTATCATGCTCTTGGAGGACATCAACATGAAAAAAAATTATTTCTTCCTGAATTATAAATTTCACGCAATCCCGGGGGAAAAAACACCAACAGGAGTTTTGCTCTTTCCTAGAGAAGTTGCTTCTCTAGTTCAGACAGAAAAATAAACAGCCCACGAAATTCTGTGTGAGGGGGGAGGGTCGGGAATGAGCAGGAACAGCAAGCCCCCCCCAAATATGAAAAGGGGTTATATACGTGCTACAAAAGGGATGGACCTTGAAAACGCCACACTAAGGGAAAGGAGCCAGTCACAGAAGGCCACGCACTGTAGGATCTCTTATTATCAATGTCCAGAAAAGGGGACTCTGCAAAGAAGGGGATCAGAGAGTGACTGCTAATGGGGAAGGGGTTTCTCCTTGAGGTGACAAAAATGTTCTAAATTTTTGCTGTGCTGATGGGTGCAGGATTCTGTAAATATACTCAAAAAAACCATTAAATGTAAGCTTCAGATGGGTGGGTTTTATGGTATGTGAATATTTCAATGACATTAAAGTTCTTAATGTGTTATAACTATAATAATTACCACAGCATTGCACTGATGAATATGCTTGGATCCATACATCCCACTTTATACCATGTATTTAAAAAATTAAACCATAAAAGAACTAGAAGAAACCCTGATGTCAGCATGAGGAAGGATATTCTAAGTATGACACAAAATCCAGGGGCCATGAAAGGAAATACAGATTTCACTTCATAAGGAAAATTTCTTCACGGCGGAATCAAAGACAAATGATAAATTGGGGAAACCAGATGAAATTTGGATGACACACCGAGGTATAATTCTGTTATATGCAAAGAGCTCCTGTAATTCAATAAGAACAAAACCTACCCAGTTGAAAAAGATGGACCAAGGAGTTGAATAGCTTCAAAGAGGAAAGCAAGTGGCTCAGACGTGAGAAGATATTCATCCTCATTCATGTGACGTGTTAATTTAAAACTATACTGGGATCGGGGCACCTGGGTGGCTTAGTCGGTTAAGCGTCCGACCGACTTTCGCTTAGGTCATGATCTCACGGTTCGTGGGTTCGAGCTCCGCGTCGGGCTCTGTGCTGACTGCCAGCTCAGAGCCTGGAGCCTGTTTCAGTCTGTGACTCCCTCTCTCTCTGACCCTCCCCTGCTCACGCTGTCTCTCTCTCTCTCCTAGAAATAAATAAAAAACATTAAAAAAAAAAAAAAGAAAAAAAAAAACTATACTGGGATCCTATTTTTCACCGAGGAGGCGAGCAGAGCCTAGGAGTTTGAGGCCGTGCGTGATGTGTGAGGGTGTGGGAAAACGCACATCATCTGAAGGTGTCACTCAGACCACATCAAAATGACAAATGGACACACCTTTGACCCAGGATTTGCACCTCGAGAGATCTATCCTGCAGTTTTACTCACACCTTTGTCTCACACACACACACACGCACGCACGCACGCACGCGCTCGGTTACTCATCGCAGCACTGCCCATAGGGGCAGCGGGTCAGGCCCGGTGCATGGAGGGCCGGCCAAATGAAACCTGGTTCGCCCCTGCTCCGGAAAACTAAGGGGCCGCAGAAGGAAGAAGCTCTTTAGATGCTGACCCACAGGACATTGGGGTGTATGTGACTGCGTCCCAGCCTGGGACATGCCGAGAAGGTCTGGAAGGACACACAGGACGACGCAGGCTGCCTCTGAGAAGGGGAGTGGGCGGCTGTGCAACAGGAGCGAGACGGGCACTTTTGTCTGTACAGACCCCGTCATTCCTCTTGTATACTGGACGGCGTGGGTGTACCATCTACTAGCTTGTCTAAAGATCAACACAGGTCGAGAAAGGGAAAAGAGCGGAAGTGTAAGCACACTCCCGGCTACGGGGGCGGAGCCAATGGGGGGCGGGGACTGTGGTGAACAGGAGCTAGACATCTTTAAAGAGACAAAAGCAGTTCTAACGGAGAGCTGCAGTTCAGGAACCCAGGCCTGTGTTGCCAGATCCTCTGATTTCTTTTATTCAAGAGACACTGAAAATCCAGGTTATTATGCAAATCTCCCTGTTTTCAAATGTGTCCAGATACTTCTTTTAGAAGTATTTTTCTTCTAAAGAAGAAATACTTCCAAATACTCCTTTAGAAGTATTTATACTTCTTTTTCTTTCTTTGGGAAAACCCTATGGTAGCTAAAAATAATCAGAGAGTTGGTATCCCTGTCCTAGACGGCCAAGGAAGATGGACCCTTGGAGATCACCAAGTCCAGCTCCCTAATTTGACACACTGAAAAACCAAGGGCCAGAGAGGCCCAAGGTCACACAGCAAATCGTGCCCGAAGCTAGGATCCCATTCAGGACTATTTGCTTCCACGTTGTCCTATTATCTGCTAACCGTGCAGGAAAATGGTTATGGAGACAGACGTGGTGCATTGTGGGGTCACAGATGGGGGCTGGGGTCAGAGAGGGCTGGCGGGGAGGTCGCACCCAGTGGGAGTCAGCCAAAGGGGGTAGGTGCCGGTGTGGGGGAGGCAGCACAGCACAGGCAAAGACCAGGAACGGGGTGAGCTCCGGACAGGGTGGCGGTGGGTGGCCTGGCTGGTTCGGATGGCATTCCCTCTGGGACCTGCCCCACTCAGGCATGGGTGGGGGAAGGAACAGGGCAAGCTGCGTGGGTCCAGTGGACAGCGGAAGGGGCCAGGGGAGGGTGTGCACTCACACTTGCGCAGCTCCCGGCTCTTGCTTGGGCAGGCCAGATGCTGGCCCGGGGGGCTCTGGGTCCTCTGGAGACAGGCCAGCATGGCTGAGCTGGGGGCCAGCAGCGAGACGCACTCTGCGGCAGGGTCCCTGTGAGGAGGGAGATGAGGTGCTTGTCAGGCTGCTCCGTGCCTGCTTCCCTCCCACCACCCTGGGCTGGGAGTCACTGCCAGCAGCGCCCCCCCCCCCACCTCCCGCAGAGCACATCAGAGACTTCTCACTGAGGCCCGGAGGAATCAACAGACTCATCTGTGGCCTCACAAGGAAAAGAATCCAGATCTCAGGGCGCCTGGGTGGCTCACTCGATTAGGCATCCGGCTTTTGATTTTGGCTCAGGTCATGATTTCAGGGTTTGTGGGTTCAAGCCCCCACACCAGGCTCTGCACTGACAGTGTGGAGCCTGCTTGGGATTCTCTTTCTCCCTCTATCTCTGTCCTGCCCCCTCTTAAAAATAAACTTAAAAAAAGAATCCAGGTCGCGAGTGGTGGGTTTCCACTGTGATGGGGCCAGAACGGACTGGACAGACATGCCTGACCCTGCTCATTGTGTGGGTCACCTCTTCCAGGGGGCTTCCCTGATGCCCCCAGGCCTGATCAAATCCCCACCCCCTCCCTTCCAGTGAGTTGTGGCCTCTGGCTTTTGCCACCACCTCTGTCCCTGCTCTTCAGTCTCGGGCTCACAGAGGGCAAACACCCCATGTGGTCATCTTTGAAAGCTACATGAGGGGTACCCAGGAACTGCCAGTGGGCGGGTGGGTGCTCCAGCGTATTGAAGTGTTGGTCTGGGGCATTCTCCAGCACCCCTACAGGAAGACGTCCAGGATGGCATTCTTGGGAGAAGGTGGGATCTCCTGCCCTGACCCGTGCTGAGCCCTGAGCCCAGGTCCCAAAGGCCACCAGGGCTCCCAGCCCGAGCTCACCACCCCAGACAGGAAGCGGGGGGTGGGAGGCGTGAGGCAGGTCCACCCAGCAGGGGTGCCCCAGAGGTGGCAGCTCAGATGTGGCTCTGGACAGGTCCAGTTGTGCTCACTCTCGCCCAGAGCCAGATGCCTGGTGTTCATACGGAAATACACTTATCTTGGAAAAACCCACCCTGGAGGCCATGGAGATGGGACAGGAGCTTTTCCTCTGAGGGCCCCTCCCTTCCTCTCTCCTCCATGAAGAGCCAGAGGAGCAGTTCTCAAGCCACCCCTGATGTCCACCCAGCCTGGGCCCTGGATCCCTGCTACCTCCTGACCCCACCCCACCCACGTCCTGAGCAGCCAAGCTGGGCCAGCTCAATCCTCTTGCCAGTCTTTAAAAAAAAAAAAAGGAGAAGAAAGAGGAGGGGGTGTGTGTTCAAGGGGAAGAAAGGGGAGTTATTTAATACTAAACAGGTGTCTGGAGCCCTTAAATTCTGCTGCTTTCTTCTAATAATGAAGTATTCATGAGGAAAAGCCTTTTTTCACTACTTTCTTAAGATACTAATTTCACAACAAGCTCCTTGTTACGGCGCAATTATTCCAATCTTGAATTTCCCCGAGACGGTTGCAGCCTCCTGTCTGTCCTGGCCTCTCGGTAAATGAAAGACAATCACGTAACCACCTTTCATTATGCTCTATTTTACTTTCAGCAAAGGTACCCTGAAAGAAATGATTTACTCTGAAAGGGACTTTTATTCAGTTTCAAAACCAATTTTCTCCTATTACTGTCTCAAAGAAAAAAAAAAAAGGAAAGAAAAAAAAAGAAAGTAGGGGTGAGTGGGGGAGGGTAGGTGGTTCTCACCCTCCCCCAACCCCACCCCAATCGCCAGCCTTAATGCAGCGATGGCGCACACAGTCAGAGCAGCACTATCCACTTCCCGGCTTTGATTTCTGGTAATTTAAAAATATGCCATTACAATCAGGCAGAAATTATACAGTTTAAAAAGGGAATGAAGTAGGGCTTATTGCAGGGATGAAAGCCCTTGACAGCAGAAGGAGGCACTGAGCCTTGGGGACTGGGGACTCGGGCCCTTTAGGATATAACTGCGCACACACTCTGCCCGGCTTGGACGCCTGGGGACACGCGGGCATGATGCTGTGACACGCTCACCACGGACCTCTCCCGAGACGGGCACAGCGCCGTCCACCCGTACCCGCGGTGCCGCACCCCTCCACACCCCTGGCGCCCTCTCATGCACACACAGGGTGTCCACGGTCACGCACAATTGTGTGTGCACCTGGAAGGTAAGAGACCAGCTGCCCTGCCCCTCTCCCCCTATGCCAGCCCAGCACGGTGCCCCCTCTCACTGCTCTGACACAGGGTCTAGGGGACAGAGGACAGAGGGGAGAGCCAGAGAAGGCCTGCCAGCTGCAGGTGGAAGTTCTCTCGGGGAACCTGAGCCAGAGAGAGGTGGCAACCTACACAGGGCCAACCAGCAGGCAGTGGCCCTGTGGACCTGCTCCCCGTGCCCAGAGGGTAGCCCACAGGCCAGGGCTGGGCTGGAAACCTGGAACCTACATAGCCCCGCCCCGGTGCCCACCGTGTGACCCCAGGGGCTACTGCCCCAGAGGCTCCCTGATCTCTCCCAGGTCGTTATCTGCCAGGGTCCAGGCAGTGCCCAGCACATGTTCCCCTGCCCCGCCCCAGCAGACCCCTTGCCTTTCACTGGGTGCCAGGGGCCCAAGAAGCCCAGCCCTGAGCAGACCCCCCACACCTCCCCACAGGCCACATATTACAGCATGCTCTGCAGCTCTATGGGCCAGGCTGCAGGCTGTAGCTCTTGGAGGTGAGGGGCAGACTGGGGACTCTCTGGACCCCCTCAGCTGCCTGTTTCAGAGTGCTCTGATGGTGGACACCTAGGCGGTTCTGGGAGCCAAGAGGTCACTGGCCCCAGCTCAGGGGGTGACAGAGGACTCTCCCTCTCCACCCCCCCCCCGAGGGAACAGGATCCATGTTAAGGCCTCAGCTTAGGGCAGCTGCCTGGATCATTTCATGCTTTGCTTCTGGAAGACCGGCAGGCAGGGCCCTGCTGCCTGAGACACCATCTTCACTTGAAGAGGAGAGGTTTTCTCTCTGTGCCTCTAATCCCAGCTCACTGCTCATTCTCCCTGCTGCTGGGGCATGTGGGTGGGGGGGCAGGGTGGGAGGGGGCGGGAGCCAGCCAAGTACCATGATGAGTGGGTTACCCCATGATGAGTTCCCGCCTCATCCCACCATCTACAACAGGACAAAGTCAGACCCCTCTCCCTGCCCTTCAACGTCTCTCTGGCCCCAGAATAGAGCCCAACCTTCTTTGCCTCCCCCCCACCCTCCCCCCAACCAGCTCTCCTAGCCTGCCCTCTAGCTGGCTGCCCCACACGCCCAAACCTCTGCCTGTGCTGGCTCCTCTGCCTATAGCACCACCACCCCAATCCAAGTTCCCCCAGACTCTGGCTCAGCTGTCCCCTCCTCTGGGCATCCCTCCTCACAGTCCTAAGCACACTGGGTTGTAATTGCCAATTTTCATGTCTGTCTCTCTCCACTGGACTGCGAGTTTCTCGGGGGCAAGGACCATGTCTTATTTGTCTCTTTCTTCTGGTGCCTGGCAAAGAGCAATCATTTAATAAATAGGTGCTGAATGAATGGCTGAATCAATGAATCCGTTATTGTCAGACGATGTGACTGAGGCCCAGAGAAGCCAAACGTCCTGCACAAGGACACACAGCAAGCTGGGGACAGGAATGGGGCAGGCGCCTAAAACCCTCAGATTCTTTGCCTTGACCCCACCCTGCCCCCTCTCTGCTTGGCATCACCCCATGTGCAGAAAGCCAGCACCGCAGAGGCCCCACCTGGACTCATGGTTCCCCAAGCCAGGGACTGTCCTGGGAACACTGCTCATTTTGAAACCCTATCTGCAAATCAGCCTGTTTATACGCCCAAGGTCTTTTGTGACTTTAATAAAAAAAGGGGGTGGGGGGAAGGGAGGGAGAAAATGTCGCAAGCCTCAGTGATTAGATGCCTTGGCATCATTCCTGACGTGGGGGCTGATAAGACGCCTTATCTCAGAGGCACCCCTAGGAAAAGGTCCCCTCCACCAGATAACGCCCCCAGCTGTCGATATGCCCTTTCATGGCTGAGGATTTAGATAAAGGAAATGTGACAGGGGAGGGGAAAGAAAGGAAGGAACTTTCCAAGTCCGAGGAGGAATTGAGTCTGTGCTGCTTGCCTCGGCAGAACAATGCATAGGAGAAGGATGTCTAAAGGGTCTTTATTTTTATTAAAAGAACTGGGAATTAGGGCCTTTGGCCCTGCCTACTTTCTGTCATCTCTCCCTGCCTGTCTGGCTGCAGGGGGCCTCGGGAAGCCCCCAGCCAGCGGGAGGGGGAAGCTTACAAATAACTACACGCACATTAGTACTAATAATAGCGCTTCCCATTTATCAAAGATTCCCTCTGTGCCATGCCCCCCGTGCATCCTGTCCATTCTACCTCACCACAGCTTTCTAGCAGCCTCTGGGGTGGGTGCTGTTTTTAGCCCCATTTCACAGATTAGAAAATGGTCACAGAGAAGTAATCTGCACAAGATCATGCAGCTTTTAGGTGTCACTCCCAACCAGAGACTGCACCCTCAGCCCCACACCGTGTGGCCCCCACCCCTGGCTCCATCGTGGTGGGGGGGCAGCCCTCAGCTCCCAGCTTTTAGGCAGCTGGGCAGGAAGGAGCAGAGGCAAGGGCCTGCTTCTCCCCAGTGCTCAAATCTACTTTGATTCTCCTCTAGGAGGGGCTGGGATCACAGGGAGAGAGGTGAGGAGGGAGGGGGAGGAGGAGGGGCTCCCAGAAGGCCACTTACTCATCCCATAAACATCCACAGAGGACAGCGTGTGAGGCCTGCGTTGGGCAGAACAATACTGAGCTGAATATATTGCAGACCCTGCCTCTGAGAACATTTTGAGGTGCCTGTCATTTACCCACCATTCCCTCCCTCCCTCCCTCATTCGTTCATTCATTCATTCATTCATTCAGGCAGCAAACTAACCCTGAGCATCTTTTGAGGGCCAGCCCCATGCCACGTGGACTGAACAAAAATCGGTTATGTCCTGCGAAGAGAGAACATCCAATCCAATAAGAATGGACTTCCTACTCCCGAAGC